GATGTACAAACACAAGAGATGGGTGTGAATGCCAGACATGGTGTGTGTGGACGAGTGGGGCCTGGGGAAGTACATTTGGAGGAGGGATATGGAGGCAGAGCATTGCTGGGATGGGGAGGTGTGGTGTTATCTGTTGAAGATATTTTGATCAACTGGACTGGATAGAAATGTTCACATGTTGGAATGTTCACTCTGTAAGTTAAATAATGTGATTGAATATATTAAAAAAATAAAATTAAATGATAAAAAAGGTATTAGTTCAAAATGTCAAATACCTAAATATAGGAGTTAAAAATATAAAACTTTTCAAAGAAAATACAGATGTATAGTTTCATGATCTTAGATTAGGCAACAGTTTCCTAGAGGGGACACCAAAAGCACAAGCACCAAAGAGAAATAGACACTTTTTCTTTTTCTAGTTTTATTGAAGTATACTTCACCAGTAAAAATTATATATACAGGGTGCCTTCATTAGGTACTGGTGGTTAAGAAAGCTGAATCTCCCATGGTCAACCATGAAGTTCAAGTCCATGACCCAGCGGCTTGAAAAATATACTGTACACATGTGCATATGTACCCCAAAAATCTGAAAGTAGGAAGAAATGAAGATGAGATTGTGGTGGGACTACACCTGATGGGCAGTAGTTTCTTCCTCTCCCTCTCTCTTTCTGTCTCACTGTCTCTCCCTGGTGAACAACACACTCTCTGACAAAATTCTTTTAAAGTATATGGAATATGTGTATTCTGAAAAAACTATACATGGATTTTAAGTTTTTTTCACCAAAATAAACTTGTACTAAGTTGTTATAACATGTCTGTACAAGATCTAGATTAAGAAGGATAAGACATTAGTTTGAAAAAAGCCCTTATCAGAGCAACATGAATTCTCCTGAAATGGAAGTAGGAAGAAACATCAAATTTATGGTGAAGTATGGTTATAACAAAGATGACATTATTAATGCTTTATGGAAAGTTTACAGGACAATGTCCCAATGAAATCAGCAGCTTACAGATGGGTAACTCATTTTAAGAGATAAGATGATTTTGAAGATAGTACCTGTGGTGACATAATCTACAGTAATTTTTAATGGTAAAATTAGCCTTGTTTATGCCCTACTTGAATAAGAATCACAACTGATAGAATAAACCATAGCCAACATCATAGACATCTCAACTGGTTCAGCTTACATGATTCTAGATGAAAAATTAAAGTATATCAAACTTTAGGCTTGATGGGTACCAAAACTATTGCACCCAGATCAGCTACAGAAGAGCCAAGCTTTCCATGGATATTTTAAGCATTAAGATCAAGATCCTGAAGCATTTCTCGTAAGAATTGTAGCAGAAGATGTCACATGGCTTTATCAGTATGACCCTGAAGATAAACCACAGTCAAAGGAATGGCTATCTGCCAGGACGAGCCTCAGCGGGGGTGGGTTGACTGGTTGGAGGCAGCACTGGAAGGAAAGAATGAGGCCTCGGTGCCTTCTTCGTGCACGTCCTGAGTCAGACACTCTCAGAGATTGCTCTCTGAAGAGTGACAACTGCTAGGAATCATCTTGCCTTTTTATTGAAAATATGATACATGCAAGTAAACTGGTGAGGAGCTACATGTTCTACTTATCAATTCATAAAGTTTCAACAATAGGGATCATAAATTTCATTCAGGATTTGATTAAGGGCAGGTCTATTAATCATCGATACAGTTCAACAATTGTTTGATTGATGAAAGCAGGTTCTTATAAACTTCAAGGAGTGCAGTTTCAGGAAACAGTTCCAGTAAGCAGAGTTAATTATCAGCCGATGTTCGGCAGTAGCCGTCTTGTGATTACTAAAAGAAAATCTCAAGTATAGGTATTAGTTCTTATGGATCTCAATAAAAAATTAAACTTCTATAATTCTATAGGGGTCTAAAACTTAATTCAAGAAATTTTAATATATCTATTTTAAAG